TTTTCAAGACAAATTTTGCCATATATATCTAAATAAATGCTCAATTTGGTAACTACAATTTTTGGAATGTTATCTAAGGAAATAAATCTAAATACAAATAAAAATATGCACTGGATACATTTTAATAACAATTTTAATAACATCAAGTGTTAAATGATTAAAATTATTTTATTTACTATGTTGTGCCTTCATTAATGTGATAAATTAATATCCAGCTACTGAAATATTATACATTGGTATTTTAGAATAATTTGGAAGAAAGGCCTCCATGTAACTGGAAGTAAGAAATAAGTCACACAAGCAAGTTACCAGTATAAAATAACATATGCAATAGAAAAAAAAACATTTTTTAAAAAGTTAATATGAATATAGTCATTGGGATTAGACTAAGACAATGTTTGGTTTCTTAATTTCTTTTTTTAATTCAGTGAATAACCTTTATTGATAGATTCTTCATACCTACATGTAATAGTCCTGAAATTTTTTCTTTTTTTCAATTGTGACAAATAATAAAATTTAACACTTTAAATATTTCAAGTGGACAGTTCTGTGACCTTAATTAATTCATCGTTCACCACAATCACCACTATCAATCTCTAAAATTTTATAATGCCCTAATTATTAATTTCTAATACTATTTAGTGTCTTAGTAAGTTCAGTTTCTTACTTTTCCCTAATTTTTCTTATTAACTAAATCTTCCTAAACACATATGTGCTTTTCCTAATAACAAAAGTGGTACAACCAAGTCAATCTATTGTTCTCTTGGGCCTTCCTGGATGCCTGCACTGGGGTGCAGGGACCATAAAGTATCACTGGAAAGATACCTCCACTCAGCAGCATTTTCCACATGGTTAGAATGGAGGCATTGTTGGGGACAGTCACATTCACAGTGACATGGTTGGGACTAGACTCATGCTTACACAACAACAACCGCTGTGAAGAGAGTTCCCTGGAGTCAGTTCCCACAGGCCATCCCAGGCTCTCATTACTGATGTGTGGCCAAGGTAGTTTCACACACTTGAGCTTGCAAAGTGGCATTCTTTGGGTGGCCTCACTTGGCAACCATTATTCCTTAGGGCCAGCTGCCCATGATGAGGTCCCGACCTCAAAAATGTTTGCTATAACCAGTTCATCTCCCATGAAGCTGCACTCTCTGCCTTGTACATTAGTAATCTGTGTTTGATTCCTATTGGTGAGCTCTTCATGCCTGTGAAATATATTACTAGTGATTTGTTCTCAGAACATTATTTCATAATGTTCAATTTTGGAAGATAAGGTTTGAGATCTCTGTCTCTTTTCTTGTCTGATATTTTTCTAGGCCCTATGCAGATGTTCTTATCTACTCCCATGGCCAGTTCTATAGGCCACAGGGGGACATCAAGGACATCTTTATCAGTCTCATGAATCTCTTCCAGCAGTGGTATTCAGGTTCAGCTTTGTAGCTCACATATTTGGTCGATTTGATTTGCTGTGCATGTAACCACAAGGAAGCAAATGAAATCTTGGAATGGCAACCTGGCTCAATAAAAACATTTTAGTGTTGTGCCAAATGAAGCATACCAGTATAGAGGGGAAAGCACAACATTATTTTTTAAAAACTTAGAAGAATTTACTATATTAAGGGAATTATGTCTTTTTAAAATTAAAATTTTAATTAAAAAAATAACTGCATAAAAATAACTTTTAGAAATAATTTTATAAAATTATTAAGAGTTCAATATGAGTTCAGTCCTCAGCTAAGTTTCATAAGGGTATTATATCACTTAACCAACAAAACAATCATATGAAGTAGATATTCTTACCTTGATTTTTCAGATGAAGAAACTGGGGATAGCAAGTGGTAAAGTTAAGATTTCAAACACCTTCTTTGAAAATAAGGAAGCAAAAAAAGAAAAGAAAAGAAAAAGAAAACAAGAAAGCAGAGATTGCTAAAGATAATTTGAAGGAAGCTGAAAGAGTTATAGTAGACAATATAGCTGCAGTGCTTACCATGTATCTGGTGGTGTTCTGAACAGTTCATATGTACTGAGTCCCATTCCACCTTTCTAACTTCTCAGGACAGTGCCAGCCCAACAATACCCAGGTGTTTCTTGTCACAGAAAGGAATATATCTTACTCATCAAAAACAATGCTACATTATATATCCAGATGTCTGGATTGTATATACATAATTTTCTCAACTAAACTTTATCAAATCTTTTGTGGATGATACCTACTATCTTCAGTAGCCTGTTTGATTAGTAAAGTATCCCATGAATAAAAGATTAAACTGAAACAGGTTCCATGGTCATATTGAATCTCAGGTTTCTAAGGATTTAATTCTACCATTCTAGATTCAGTTTATAAAAATATAATAATGGTACCTCATTCCATATCCTCTTATATTCTCGGAACTATAAAAGTGGAGTTAATATAATCCAGCCATTCTCATTTCATTTCCATCTCAATAATGATGTTTTAATTCCAGCCTCAATTTTCATTCACACCTAAAAGTAAAATCAGATATAGCTTTAACAGTTTATCCACTCAGGGTGGTCTCCTCTGTTCTCCGTCATCCCACGGTTTATGTGAAGCTATTTGAATTCAGCATGAACCCCAGAACTTTCTTCTATTCCAGAGAATATCAGTGAGTCCTTCATACCAAATCACGCGGAATTTCATTGGTGTATATATTCCTTATAAATACTCTTGTAATTTATGAGCTTCAAAATTATGTATATGAGCATCAACCTTTCAAAGCTGCAATTAAAGACTTAAACAATGACCTTTGTGATAGGATTACCATTGGTTTGATATGAAGAAGGTGTGCCTCTGCAGATAAACTTATCTGCTGCTTCTTTTGGCAAATGCTGGAAAATGTTCATCTCATGTGTCTCACTCATTTGCTCAGCTTCCAGGAAAATAGCTTCCAGGGACACTGTTAAAAGGGTTGATTATTCTTCCCTTACTTTTTTATATGTTTATGCCTCACTTGCCAAAGCCCTTTACAAGCTAATACTGCCTAAGTATCAAACACAGAAATTTAGATTTGAGATTTTGAGTTCACTATAATTGATTTCTGGTGGCTTTAAGATTTTTGCCCTTTTTTCTCACAGGATTTTTATCCCTTTTGTATAGGTAGTTTACTGGGAGAGCCTTCTGTCATGGTGAGTTTCTATTCAGACATTCCTGAAGATGAGGCACTCTATGACCGGTGGAGAATTTGTGTTCCATATGGACTGCTCAGGAAGTATGCAGTGTCCCAAGAATAACCAGGTTGGGTCTCAGTCATGCATAGAGGCAGCTCAGGTAAATCCAGTTCCTTTTCCTGAGTCAGGTAGTCAAGTAAGGATGAATCTGAGGGGTTAAAGTGGGGTGCATTGGGAGGTATAGGTCTGTTCTCCAACTGAGCAGCAGCAGGCATGACCACTCTGAGGTCTTAGAAGGTAATATGGCATGAAATCAGGGTGACAGGCTGCAGTCCCAAGAGTTGGCTTGGCAGGGTCTGAAAAAGTTCTCTCACTCTCTCCTCATCCTCTCTCCCCTTCAGGAAACACTGATTCTGCTGCTGAAGAGTTTGCCTACTAGGATGTTATTTTGACATCTATCAATTTGAATCTTCCTATGAGAAATTCTTTCCATAAATTTCTGAAAAGACCAGAAAATTAATCCTTTAAACGAAGAGAGTAGATTTTTAAAGATATTCCTGAAGAATTGTTCTAGGCTTTGGGGATTTCAGGTGGGATTACTATTTTACTTGGATTTCTCAGCTGTGTGCAATGTCCAACTGCTGTTCTATACCTGGGTCTATTTGTTTCTCTCAGGAAGAGTGTGAAGTACACTCAGAAAACAATGGAGGAGGAGGTGAAGAAGGTTAAGATCATGAGCACGGTACCTAGGGGGCACTGAAATCTTGGCACCACTTCAGAACATTTACAGGAAGCCCTCCATCCCTGGTCACCCCCTACAGGTAGGAATTGGAACAGACTTAACAGAAGGATACAGAGAAAATGAAAAAATCAGTCCCTGAGCTTCACTGAAGGAGTTTTAAAATGTGGTATATAATTGGAAGACTCTATCTTGTAATACTTAACTCAGTCTGTATTGCCTTTGTGGAGTGCCCAAAAAGCCTGAGTGCAGTCAGTGTGTAGAGGAGCTGAAAATCCCGTGGTGCTAACAGACCTGTGAGGATGCTGTGCAGTGCCAGTAGTGTGCGTGCCTGTTTGAAGAGCCCTGGAGTCTCTGGAATTAAGCAATTAGGGCTTTCAAGGGCAAATTCTGATACCTTACAATGAAATTAAAGTTTAATGTGTGTTTTCTGACTTCATACAGCTTTTTGTCTTCCCAGATGGAGAAGTTACTGAAACATTTAGTGTTATTTAAAAAGTTCAGTTTAACTGCGAGAAACATAGGAACAATATGAATGTGATTTCTTCTGGGAGGACCAAACCCTAGTGCTGCCACTTGCAACCTAGAGTCTCATAATACCAGTGTTTTCATCAGGAATTGTCCTCAACCCAAAATAGATATTGTATAAATTTTTGCTATTATTATAATTATTATCTTATATTCATCCACACAGAACATTTTAGTGAGTTCTAGGCAGAGATTTATGATCAAAAAAAGTTTCAGTTTTGATTTCATACATGAAAATAAGTAAAACTATGCATGTAAGCACTATATATATAGCATAGGGACAGTACAAAGTTCATGTTGGAAAAGTAGCAGTGAGGGCATCAAGATGCTGGCAGAATTTGGTCATCAGAGAGAATGATACCAAATTAATTGCATTCATCCTAATGTGATGTCACTAGATTTGAGGATGATGACTCATACTAACCCAAATGAAAAATGATTTGTTATATAAATCAAAATCCATAATATTAATTCACAATAGAAACTATTTTTTCGTGTTGTTTATATGCTTACATTAGTATTATCAAGGCATTCTCTGTTCATAGATACATTTATTTGGGAAATTAGACAGTTTAAGTATGTTCTGGTGCACACAAACTAGGACACAGTAAGATCTTTCCAACTGAAAATCAGAAGACCACATATTAAGAATGGCCTTCCTGGGCAGATACAGTGCCCTAATAGTACCAGGGAGGTACAAGGAGAGAGTTTCTCTATTTTCTTTCATTTCAGAGTAATGTTCTGCTCAGTGTAATGTTTAGTGCCATGTTGACCATTTGGTAGGGATATGGATGTGGAGAGTTTTGTTAAGTTTTCAGGTCCCCAATTCTTTATCTGGAAAATGGAAGAGAAACCTGTTGCTGAAGAGTCTCAGCATGCTTAAATTCTACTATTAATTTCAGGTTTTTTTAAAGTTCCCTAAATATACAACATGTTCAGTGATTGGCTTCTATTACAGTTTTCATCAGGGAAGTAGATTAACTTATCCTGTAATTGTCACCATTCCTTGTTAATTGTGTAAGTCCACTCTTGAGTGCCCATGTCTAACCTCCATTTATTTATAATTGCAGATGTTTCTCATTTGGTATTGCAGAAGGTATCTCTACCAGCTTAATAAAAAGCATTGCCCAGGTGAGAGGGGACACTTCAGAGTTCATCACAGGTAAGGACAGGATGCAGTTCAAGCTGAGGGACAAGCCCTGTGTCCAGAGGTTGGCAATCCAGACCAAGTACACAGCAGGGTAGGGGACACTGCTACAAGGGCAGGAGCCCAACTTGCTTCCAGTGTGCATTTTCCCAAAAGTGGGCTTTGTCCTTAGTAGGGCTATGTGTGGTCTCATACAAATATGGCCACTGTACACCTAGAATATGGCCCAATTAGTTGGAAGACCAGAAATAAGAATCTGAGAGAGGTTGAATCTTTTGTATTTGAGAACAAATTCAGAGAAACTAAGAGCTTTGGCTATCATGTTTGAGATTCTAGACCTGTACTTCAGGACCTCTTTTAGTGGTAAATTGATGGTACTGGGGATTGAACTCAGGGTCTCTCAATCACTGAGCCACATCCCCAGCCCTATTTTGTATTTTATTTAGAGACATGGTCTCGCTGAGTTGCTCTGCACCTCAGTTTTTACTGAGGCTGGCTTGGAACTTGTGATCCTCTTGCCTCAGCCTATTGAGCTCCTGGAATTACAGGTATGCACCACTGCACCCCACTGTAAACTCTTCTTTCCCTATTGCTTCTTTAGTTCCATTATCTAGATATCAACTCCCCCTAGCATATCTTCATTAACATTTATGCTATTAAATCTCTCAACCTTTGTTTTCTTATGTGTAAAGCAAAAGAGATAATACCCACATCCCAAGATAGTATTAAGAATTAGACATAACATATTATGTCACATAGCACCTGATACATAATAAACATTCAGTTAATTGTGGGTATCCTTCTCATCCTTATTTGTTTCTGCCTATTTGGTTCCCTTTCCTCCATCAGGCTCTTAGTTCCCTGAAGCACTCTCTACAGCCTGCTACATGCAGTATCTCTCTGGGCTGGAATTTGCCTCTTGGTGTGCCTCCTACCATGCTTTCCCCAGAACCAACAGCCATGTTTAAAGATCAGAGGTTAATCATATATGCCCTGCTCATTGGGAAAATACAGGTGAGGCAAATTAGCAACTGTCATGACAATTTCAATAAAGTTGGTAGGTAGATTTACATTTCAGCAAGACTGCAAATCCCAGGGAGAGCCAGCCCACCATCTTCCTCATCGTATCAAGTCTCTGACTTCCTGGGCTATCTGATTACTACTTAGAAATTTTAATACACTGAGCTGGGGAGGTGCCAATCATTTGTCTGGTCATGTCTGCCTTCCAACACTTCTCTTCTCTAATTTTTAAGCAGTTGAGTCTACAGGAGAAGTATGCCTCAAGTGCATGCTCCAGAACAAGAGTTTTAAGCATAAGCTGACATTTTCTCTACAACTCATGCCAGATGCCAGGTAAGAATTCAGTTTCCCTATTCTTTTCCCATATTTCTCATTTTTCTTCCCTTTCTTCTGTTTTCTGTCATCCTTGCTGTTTGGATTCCTTTTATTGATTTTGGTTTAATTGTTTCCCTACATTTGCCTTTTTCTTTATAAAACATTCAGTCTTGTCTCTGCTCTTCTCTGCCCTTTTCTTCCCTTTGCCATTCCTAACATTTGGAACCCAAAGTAACTGTGGGTGTTTTCTGTAAGTCTCAGAATGTTTTGTTTCATTTTTTTCTTTTAGATTCACCATTCGCCATCTTGCTATAAAGTCCTTGATCCAGAGAAAAGACTTGGGTTTCAGTGAGACTCTAGTTAAAGATAAAGAAGTCGTGTTGAAGATCAGCATTGGATCTGGAGTCAACAGCTCCTTTACAGCTTTGATTGCTGTAAACAAGGAGCTTAAGCAGCCAGTTCAGGGGCCCCTGGCTTACAGACAGATTCCAAGGCCAATTCTGTTCCATGATGCCTGTAGGAGGCCAAGAATGTATTTTCCTGGTGAATTTATCCCATTCAGACTTCCACAGACTAAGTGTCCTGGATATCTGAGTACATTATTTAAAGGAATAGCTTGTGAAAGACCTTAAAATGTCTCATTTTCCTTGTGCCTCCACATCCAAGACTGGTGAATGTTAAACATTTTTTTCTGTGCTAAGGAGCTAAAATATGGCGCATTGGAAGAGACATTTCATATGGAGGGATATTAGAATATAGAAAGTACATACAAGCATCAAAAACCAAACAGTTGCCAGGCATGTGGCACATTCCTATAATCCCAGTGGCTCAGGAGGCTGAGACAAGAGGATCTTGATTTCAAAGTCAACCTCAGCAAAAGTAAGGAGCTAAGCAACTCAGTGAGACCTTGTCTCTAAATGAAATACAAAATAGGGACGGAGATGTGGCTCAGTGATTGAGAGACACTGAGTTAAATCCCAAGTATCATCTCCAAAAAAAAAAATCATTTTAAATCTGAAGCTAATTTATCAATGAGATAGTAAATCCCACAAATGGCTGATGTTTGTAATGACCGGATACTGGAAGTGATAGAAGAGAGGACTCAAGGAAAAGAGAAAGAGCCCCTAAAGTTAGTTGGAAAGTGGAATGCCCAGGGAGAAGTAGAAACATTTGTGTAGAAGAGGGTCCAGTATCTCAATAGATATAGTGGAACCAAAAATACCAAAAAGAACCATAGTGTATGTGAGTCTTTTTAGCGGTACTCAGCAGATTTGGCATAAGAATGGAGCAAGTAGAGAGTTGGGCTAATTTCAATGTTGGGAGTTTGCTAGATAGGTGTGATGAAAGCAAATTAACAATATGGAGTTAAAAATATCAGTAATGGAGTGGCAACTGTTGGACTTGTGATTTAGATTGCATACAGAATAAAGATGGAAGGAAATCGATATATGAGAAAAAAATGAAGAAATCAAGACTTATATGCTTTAGATGAGGTCAAAGTTCAGGTAAAATAGGAATGTCTAGGTAAGGAACTGGAAAAAAATAAATACTTTTAAAGGTAAGATTTTTTTCAGTTTATTTTTTATAAATGGCACAATTCTGCATGATAAAAGGCTTATCATGTCTGGAAATGTAAAACTGAAGGGAAAAATAGAGATAAAATCATTGAATTTGAGCATGTTAAGAACCTTTGTAGTAGGAAGCTGGGTAGCCTGTCTCCATGGGTATGCTGAAAACCCTCAAGATGATGGCAGACTTTGGAATGAAGCAGAAGTCTACGATCTGGATATCAGAAGCCTCAGAGGACGACTGACTGTGATAAAGTAGTTTTGGGTGGTGAAAGTAGTGAGGAAACCTAGAAGGTACCCAGGTGAGAGTAGAAGAGTAAACATTGGGGGCTACAGAAGTTTTTAGACTCACCTTTTAAATCTGAGTATTTAGAGTGCAGACGTTGAGTAACAACCATCTGAGAGAAATAAAGGGAGAACAATTTAAAGAGGATATGTGAGTTAAGACTTAGTTGGAAGAGGCCTCTTGTACTGATAATAAACATACAGGAAAGATTGCTTATCATGCGTTAGGGGTTTCAGAGGATACAATAGAAAGCACAAAGAGCTCTGAGAGTGTGATTTTGTGCCAGGGTAGGTTCCTAGGAGAAGAAAAGCACAGGAAGGGTGGAGACTGCATAATACCAGTTACATGATATAAATGGGAAGAAATGTGTCTCACATTACCAGACTTCATTACCTTTGCCTACTGCAGAGGGCAGGGGGTACCTAGACTCAGTGTGAGTATTGGTGTTTTCAAGATATTTCATGGAAATCAGAATGATTCACTTCTTATTCAGTGCCTCTGTTTGCCTGTTCTGAATTAATACCCCTTCCTTCCACCAATGGGACAAACTTACAAAGTTACCGTAAAGGTGAGATAGACCTTAGCTCACTTTTCTATGGGGACTGAAGTGCTAATCTTCTTTTTAATTGTTGATGGACATTTGTTTTATTTATTTTATTTTTATGTTGTGCTAAGAATTGAACCCAGTACCTCACACATGCTAGGCACTGAGCTACAAACCCAGCTCTTAAGTATTAATATTTGATGCTCTAGTTTCTTGTAGCTTTCCTACCTAGGAGCTAATCTTTTGAAATATAAGGGATAAAATTTGCCTAGTCTCTAAATTTTCCAGGGCTAGCTTAGCTTCATTAGTTGATAATATAGGACCCTGAAACGTCCTACTGATGGAGTCTGGAGTGACCTGTGGTTAAATAAAATCTTTTGCCATCATTGACAACACTGGTTGCCTGCAGTTAGAACCTGGCCCCTGCATAACTCTGCTGTCTTTCTGTTTGTGTCCCTGCTTCATTGGTCATCCTTTTACAAATTGGGTTTGAAGGTAGATATGGGTGGTGTCTGATAGCTTTCTCAGTGGAGCCACTT